GGAGCCAGAATGCCAACAATGCTGCACCAAAAATTGATTTACAAATTTGTGATTTGATTTTAGTTTTATAAATCAATCCAAGAAAATGGAGGGGCGAGCGATGATCTTCAATCATCGACGCCTGCACCAAAGCAAGTTGCAGCTGGGGTGCCGGCGATTGAAACGCTCAAGGGGCTACCACGCAAGGCCAGAAAAAAGATGAAGAAGAAGCTCAAGCGGAAGCAGCAGCGGCAGGCCCTGGCGCTGGAGGCCCTGGCCGCAGAGACCGACCCGGCGCTCATCGCCGCCCGGGCCGAAGAGGAGGCTCGCGCCGTGGCCCGCGAGGCCGAAGAAGCCGCCGAGCGGCAGCGCCAGCAGGCCGCCTGGGAAGAGGCCGAACGACAAGCGCAGGCCGCCTTCCGCGAGCGGCTGGCCCGCGAGGCCGAGGAGCGCCGTCAGCGCGAGATCAGGGAGGCCGAGGCACAGCAGGCGCGGGCGGCCCGGGACAAGGAGCTGCTCGAGCGACAACAACAGCAACAAGAAGAAGCCCAAGTCGAACCGCTCCACTACGGCCCGGCCGCGGTACACGCACCATCGCACACGCATGATCGCACACACCAATGGATGTTAATGGTGTGTGTCGTGTGTGTCGTGTGTGTCGTGTGTGTCGTGTGTGTCGTGTGTGTCGTGTGTGTGTAGGATGAGAGCGAGAGCAACTGTGCGTACTACATGAAGACGGGCGCGTGCAGGTACGGCGCGCGCTGCAAGTGGCGCCACCCGATCCCGGCGCGCAGCACGACGATCCTCGTCCGCAACATGTACGACGGGCTGGGCGTTGTGGGCCACCACCGCGTCAGCGATGAAGACCTCGACGACGGTCTCGAAGTGAGTGCTCTTCTCGCCGCCGCCGCTGCATGAATCCTTTCCATCTCTCTCTTCTCTCCTGCGCGGCTGTGCGTGCGTGTGTGCGTGCGGCTGTGTGTGCGGGGGTGTGCGTGTGTGCGGTGGTTCGAAAGCCTCTGATCGCTGGTGCGTGTGCGTGTGTAACGAACGAACGAACGTTTGGCCTTAACTCTCTGACAGCATGACGAAGACAAGCTGATGGAGGACTACAAGGCGTTCTTCTACGACGTCGAACCGGAATGCCGCCAATTCGGCGAACTGGTTCAGTTCAAGGTTTCGTATCGCACCACACACCGCACACACAACACACGACCGCACACACCGCACACACCGCACACACGAAACGCGGCGCACACACAACGCGGACGACCGCTTAGCTGCGTCTCGCTTGTGCAGGTGTGCCGGAACCACGGGCCGCACCTCCGGGGCAATCTCTACGTCCAGTTTCAGAACGTGGACGACGCCGAGAGGGCCGCCCGCGCCCTGCACGAGCGCTACTACGGCGGTAAACAGATCTTTGCCCAGTTCAGCCCTGGTGCCCCCCCCCCGCTCCGCCCCCGTCGATGCTCGCTCTAACCACGACACGCACGCGCACGCGCGCGCGCACACGCACACGCACACACGCAGTAACCTCGTGGCGCACCGCGCTATGCGGGCAGTACATGCGGGGCGAGTGTGGTCGCGGCGGCCAGTGCAACTACCTCCACCCGTTTCGCAACCCAGGCAATGCCTACGCCGCCGACCGCGAGTTCTGGCCGCAGCCGAGGGAAAGGGAAAGGGAGACGCGGGACCGGGACAGACGCGAGTCGGCGGCGGCGACGACGCGCTGGGACCGTGCGCGACGAGGCAGGAGCAGGACGCGGAGCCGAAGCAGAGAACAGCGCAAGACTCGCAGCTGCAGCCGCAGCCGTGAGCGGAGCGAGAGTCGCCACAGGCGGAGGGGGGACGACAGGGGCAAGGACGGGGACAGTGACCGGGACGGGAGTCGCCGACGCGCGAGCAAGAAGAGGAAGAGCACCACGACAGCGACCGAACGCCGCAGCAGAAGCCGAAGTTGGAGTCGAAGCAGGAGCAGCAAGACGAAGACGAAGCGGGAGAAGAAGAAGAGGCGGAAAAGGGAACCTGAAGAAGAAGGAGGAGGAGGAATAGAAGAGGACGCGTCGTCCACGTCGACGCCAGTCGAGCGAAGGGACAGCGTCACGCGAACCACCGAGACAAAGCGCAAGAGGCGATCATCCCGAGACGAGCCGAAGCACGACAACCACCGCCACGAACGCGACGTGTAACAAAATCAATTCTTTAGCACTTCACCCTCGAATGCTCGGTGGTGGTGGTTGGTGGGTGGTCGTTGGTTGGTGGTCGGCATCAGGCATCAGGGCCTTGAGCTGCAGCAGAAGGTTCTCGCTGTCGGGATGGGAACGGCCGCCGGCCAGCACCAGCGCCGCGCTGTGGCTGACGAGCTGCAGAAGCAACGCGCGCGAGGCCTCCGCCGTCGCTGCTGCTGGTGGCGGTGGCGGCGAAGCGAGTGCGGTGTTGAGGCGGTGGGCGATGTCAAGGGCCAATATGCCCACCTGCCGCTGGTCGCCTTCCGGCCCGGTGCAGGCCTGCAGGGCGCACAGCAGCTTGACGCTCACCAGCAGGGCGTGTCCCAGCAGCACCGCGTTACCCACCGCAACCCCGTCCTGGCGCTCCTGCTCCACCCCTTCCTTCGTCTCCTTCGTCTCCTTCGTCTTCTGCTCCCACAGCACCACCGCGCCCTGGAGATTGCGAGAAGTGAATTGGTCTGTGTGTCGTGGTGTCGTGGTGTCGTGGTGTCGTGATGTCGTGTGTCGTGGTTCACGGAAACGACAAAGTGGCCGCGGGTTGGGCGTACGTGGACGACGCGCGCGAAGTTGGTGGGCCACAGGAGGTGGTCCCGGTGCGTGTCGAGAGCGTGGAGGACCTGGCGTCGGCCTTCGGTGGTGGCGAGCTCGGGCGGGAGGTCGATGGCGGCGGCCGCGTAGAGCGCGGCGAGCTCCCCGCCGCGGGGCAGGACCAGGCTGACCGTCATGCGCAAGAGCAGGTGCAGAGCGCACACCTGGCCACGCAGCACCCCGAGCTCCGCGCCTGCGCTAAGAGCCTGAGTGCCAATTCGTGTCGTGTCGTGTCGTGTCGTGTCGTGTCGTGTCGTGTCGTGTCGTGTCGTGTCGTGTCGTGTCGTGTCGTG